TTATTTAATATTAAAGTTTTGTTTGGGACTATTTTATTATTGATTTTAAAACAATTTTTTAGTATAAAATTTTTTTGAAAGCAATGAAAAAAATTGTGGGCAAAAGCTGTCCCAAAGAAAGCCTATATTTGTATTATAGATTGAGATTTGTTGTTTGGAGTAAAAACTTTTTTTAATAAAAAAAGAATAATTTTAATATGAAAATTTATCAAATTATTTTAATTTTTTCATCTAAATTTGAATTTAAAATTTTGGTTGAAATTTGATCATGCAAATATATACACAAGGATTTGATGCAAAAAAGTCCATAAGATGTTTTTTTTTTACTGATAATTTCATACATTATTTTTGTTCTCTGATTAATATTTTATTCATAGAAAAAATTAATATCAAATCACCATAAAATAAAAAATAACAAAATTACAAAGTTATATTGCTCATTTCTTAGGTGTTAGATGGGTACCTCCCTTCTCTTATTTATTTCTTAGGTGTTATGATATTATTTGTCTTAGTTGATTAATTATATTTTTACCCTATTTAAAAAACAAAAAAAAATTATTACAAATTCTTATTAATTATAAACAACTAATTACCAACAAGAAAATAATAAACTTGTTGGAATTAAATTTATTTTTTAGAGTTTTAAAATAATTTTTTTCAAATCATAAAATTTAATTTTGATAATTTTTAATTGAAAACAATGTAAAAGAAATTTATTTTAATTGCATTAATAATATGAACTATATCAAATATTCCTTCTATGCCAATACAATTAAATTTTTTTCCCAAAATTTATTATTTTATTGAATAAAAATAGGTATGTAATAATTGTGAGGAATGTATGTAAATCAATGATTCAAAATACCATTTTGATTTCATCATAAAATTACCTATTTTGGTAATTTCTTAAACATTATGATTTTTATGAAATATTATAAAAAGATGGATACTAATTAAAAAAATTCATGGTAGAATTATAAACAAAATTTTTGAACAATTTAAAAGTTTAAGTTGTAAGAAAATTAAGAATTTTAGATAAAATTTTTAGATTTTTTTTTTAATTTAAAATTCTATTAAAGCTATTGGAAATATTCAAAATCTTAAATTGACTTCTCCTGCAGATTGCACTCACAAAGCATGATATGATGAATTGACTTTTCTTAAATCTTTTGCCTGACTTTTTATTTTAGATGTTTTGGGTTAAAATTAAATTATTTTAATATATATCATTAATACAATCACATATTTTATATTATTATATGATAAAAAATGAATATAATTAATTGTTAAGTAATATAACTAAATTATTGAATACTCATAAATATAATCATGCTAAAAAAATATTATAAAATTTAAAAACTTTAATTATATATTTGTAAGGGTTGTTTGGTTTGCTGGAAAAGGATACTAAGTATTCTTTTTTTTTTTAAGGGAAATAAAAATTTAGGTGGATGAGATGAGGATGCCATTAAAAGGGAAGCATAATACTAAGTTAAGTGTGACAGAGATGAGGATGCTTAGGTGGATGAGTGGCTTTACCCTTAGAGATAGGATACGAAATGAGCATATACGTGAAAAGGTTGGAGTAGCTCCAATAGAAGATAAGATTAGAGAGAGTCGCCTTAGATGGTTTGGTCACATAAAAAGGCGGCCTTCCGATGACCCGGTTAGGAGAGTAGAGGTATTAGATTTGATTTGTGTTAAGAAAGGTAGGGGTAGACCTAAAAAGACTTGGTTAGAAAATATTAGGAATGACCTTTCTTTATTAGATTTAAACGAGAATTGGACTTTTAATAGAACACAATGGAGAAAAAGGATTCATGTAGCCGACCCCACGTAGTGGGATAAATGCTTGATGTTGTTGTTGTTGTTGTTGTTGGAAACAAAAATTTGGATATTTGATGTGTTGGAAAAGGAATGTAGTATAAAATTCCAATAAATTTCATTTTACTCTTGGTTATTTTTTTATGTTCTAAACTCATCCAATTTTGACTGAATTTCTTTTTCACCGCAAGCTACTGCATTGTCACCGCCTGATACTGTCCTCGATCATCAACCACCATCGCCAACAGTCGGCCACTGTTGGCGGCCTCCACCACCTATCGCCAGTCACCACCAATTACCATAGGTCACTGCCACCAAATACACAATCATTTTACTCTACATTGCATTCATTTTATTTAAAAGTTAAATAAAATAATAATAATCTCGTGCATTCCCTCCACACTTATCCAAACATCTTCACATATTTGAAATACACTATATTTATTTTACATTACTCCACATTTCATTTTTAACCAATCAAACAGCCCCTTAATTATTAAATTATATATATTTATCTGCTAATGTAACTATAATTAAATTAAATTGAATATTATCAAAATTTGTAAAATAAAAATTGTCTTCCACTGAACTGTATACTTACACCCTTTTATTTTATACAGAATACAGAGCTCTTTCCTTCAGTGCGATGTGATTTGGTTAAAAAAAGGTAGCATGTCTGATGTGTCAGATATGCGTTGCTATTGTTCTAGATTTTGCATTATTATGTCATAACATTTCTTTATTTTCTTCGTCATTAGCTCGTTAAGCCTTATTTTTTAAAACTCGATAAGCATTAAACGAATCGAACATGAATCAAACATGAACATCATTAATTTAAATGAACCAAACATGAACACAAACAATAAGGCTCGAATCAAACACTAACCAAACTTGAACAAGCTATAATAAATGAACTCAAATATGAACACCCGCATATTCGGCACGGTTCGATTCGTTTGCAGCCCTAATTTGAATTCTATTTCCTCCTTCAAGATCTACCATCCCCATGGCCCATTTCACGCTTCCATTGCCACCAAAGTTGTTAACCTTTATGTCCTCAAGAATCGTTGCTTCACCTCCACAGATTTATGCTCCCTAATTGTTTCAGATCTCTGAATTCACCCCCTTCCATAGTACTCTGAAGCTAATAATGTGACTCCAGCTCCATCAGATCAAAACCAATTGTAGATATCTCTCATCCACCATCCCGACTTTTGCTTCGTTTGGTGTGGCTTTCTTCTTGCTTTCTAAAATAGTTTTCTAGTATAACAATTTTTTGAATTTGAAATTTTTGTACTAAAAAGCTGCTTTAAAAAGCAGTACAAAAGCTGTCCCAAACAAAACCTTAAACTTCTTAGTTCGTCTTGTTCAACTTCCATGCTTAAGGGTTCCAACAATCACAGGTCCAGTAGATCAGGAATTTCATTCAAGATAAATAAGATGAATGATGAAAATAAGTTCTCATAGTAATAATTCTAGAGTTGTAAGAAATATTTCACTGGGGATGGATGATGTTGATTTTAATGAAGATTGTTGGGCAAAAATCAACAAGCGAGAAGATAAACTATATATTATCTATAAATGTTAATTATCTTAAATGGAATTCAATGGCAATGGAGGAAGTTTGAAGAACTCTTTGAAATAAATGAAAACATGAACCATTAACATCACTAACAGATCCTCTCCTTACACATTTCTGCCATATGCAAAAGAATTCAATTTGGCCAAAGGCATCCACTATCACTTTGGCTTTGAAAACAACTCATTTCAACATAATCTAGGTGAAGTTCAAGACTAAGGTTTCATTTGGGGCATCCTTTTTACTGCTTTCTAAAGCATTTTTTCAGTATAAATTTTTTTAATTTAACAAATTTTTGTACTAAAACGTTGTTTTATGAACCAGTAAGAAAATCGTTCCAAACGAAACCTAATTTTATATTTGAATCCTAAAATATTTGACAGTCCGACCCACTGTGAGATCTTCATTCTTCTCCTCACCCTTCTTATTGCATTCACTACTCAATGGTTTTGCAATTTCTTCTTGGAAATGTTATCAAAAGTTACAAAACTTTGCAATTTCTTTTTGTTTTAACCAATTCTTATGTTGGTCACTTGATTATGTTCAATTGTTCACAATTTCGGCTTTCCTAATTTGAGCTTTTTGCCGTTTTTTGCATCTCCTTGGATAAGAGAATATTTCATTGAGTTTTCATTTCTTGTTGGTTGATAATTGTATTGTAAGATTAGGATGCTTTCATTTTTAATATTTTATAAAATTTGTTGTCAATGAGAATGTTGCATTTTCAGTTCTTGTTGATTTTTTTTTTATTTGATTCTATTCTATTTTTTTATGTATTTACAAATGGTTTTGTTAAGATTATAATATTTAAAAAATAATAAGTATTTATTATGTCACCCATTTTGACCTCGGCTGAACTATCGAACTGCTAACATCTCCTTCTTTCGATTCGTTGTTCGGTCCGATTTTCAAAGTTTTGGCACTATCAAATAAATATATTTTATTTCATGTTAAAATAAAAATAAAATAAGAACTGATCCCCACTAAATTTGTAAGAACAACATATTGACTAACCAATGACAAATCTGTGGAGGAATTATAATACCATGTCCAAATGAAATGAGAAACTGTGCTTTAGTTTGTAGAATGAATAAAGAGGTAATAAAAATTTAAAAATAGCTAATGACAGAAATTTCTTCCTTTTTTTGGCAGAATGTTCGCACAACGGTCCAATCGTTTGAGTCGAGCTCGAGTCACTCATGGCTTCAGCTTCAGCTTGAACTTGATAAATTAATCAGGTTCGAGCTCAAGCTTTATTCTACGAGTTTTAGCCGGCTCACAAGCGGGCTCATTTATTATGAAAGAGAGAAAAGTATTATGATTCAAACAATTAAAATAATAAAATGATAAAATGAAAGATTAAGAAAAATAATAAAGAATCATTTAATATAAGAAAGTGAGATAATATAAGAATCACTCAATAATAAGGGTTGGCTCATATTTGTCTCATTAGCTTATCGAACTCGGCTCATTAACTCGAGCCCGAACTGACTCACAAGTCAGCTTGACTCACTTACACCCTTAGTACTATATACAACTGTATCATACCAGAAAAATCGGGAAGCTTTTGATTCTCCTAATCTACTGGAGTTAACTCTTTGAAAAAACCAAAAAAGCTTGATTGATTCCATCCGAAATGTCAAAGTTTTTAATATTCAGTTCTCCATTACTGCATCTTCTCCTTCTATGCCCTATACATCTCCATCAACTCAGTCATTGGTAGGAGAAATTATTACGTGCGGTCACCCGATACACAGCGATACATAGTACACTACATAGTAAATTGATGATGTGACGCATCCTGATTTGCCTCCGGACGGTATCCGGTGTAATAATTTCACACCATTGGTAGATTGTAGCTTAGCTATCTGCCCCGCAGGAAGCTTATCCTCCCCCAACTATTCATCACGAGCGATCCTTTCACTTTCCCGATCAAAGCATATACCAATTTCGTCAATTGTACAAAACCTTCAGTTGCATAAGCCCACATCTTCACAGAAGTCAGCATTAAATCTCAGATTTCTTTGCTTACCTTGTAAGAGAGTGCAGAACTGAATCTGGATCTGAGACGATCGTCTTAAAAGACTGAACAGAGAAAAGAATAGTCCTAATTCAACAGAAATTCAATATATTGCTATGGAGATTAAAATAAATAAGACCTCAAAGGCGTGGCCGAACTTAGAAATCGTCAAGGTCGATCCTGATGGTCTCGGAGACATGCCGCGTGATGGAGAGGACTAGCTTGCTTTTGCTGCAGCGCTCCACGCAGGCGGGGATATCCCTCGGAAACACGGCGTTTGCTGAGATCAATGTCGTCTTCGTCACGTAATACACGAACGAACTGCGGAGGTGGAGAGCTCGACAAAGGGTATTGGCTCTCAATTCAAAGATGTTCTTCACCAGTATCATGACGGCGATGTCCGCCTTCGGTCAGTGTGCCTCACGGCCCTCATATATCCGCCATTCCAGTTTCGGGGACTTCGTGGCGCCGAGCGAGGGACGAGGGTTAGCGTGCAATAAATTTATGCTAAAACGTGAAGATTTATATTTTCTTCAAATTTTTTTATTGTTGTTTCACCACAAAAAAAGGTGTCGATATATGAATGTATTCGCTGTGCGAGATTGGGATGAGACTCAGCATTTTTTGGAGGTGTCAAATTTTGATTCTTCTAAAATCAATAAAAAAAAAAAGTTTAGATTTGTGTCAATCCATTTGTCATAAGAGTCGGGTTTGAGTTTGAGATTCTGACACGTTTATAACATCAGATCGGGTTCAGGTTCATCTAGAAATTTGAAATCAACCCTAAATGACTCAGAGGCACCAAGAATTTGCCCTCTACAACACATCCCAATAGTTGCGAGTCATGAGTTCAAATCGCGCTGCAACACTCAACCCCACGTCCGAACTTGGCCCTCCACACTGCAACGACAGTGAGCCCTCTTGCATACCCGTGCTCCTAGCCGAAGTCCGCCCTCCACACCCAGCGCCAGCGAGCTCTCCCACGGACCAATGCTCTCGTTCGAACTCCATACCAGCACAACCGGATTCCCACTCACATCTGAACTCTACCAGCTATATTCTAGGTTAAAGAGTCAGGTCGGGTTAACTGCTAACCTAATAACCCAGCAAGTTGGGTCTAAGTCTGAATTTCCAACCTGTTTATAAAACCGAGTCAAATTTAGTTCAACCAATTTGGACCTAGGTCAATTTCAATTTCGACCCGAACCCAATCTGAAAACTCATTTTGCTATGAGTGTTGCCTTGTAGAATAAATTCGCATGTATCTCAAGTTTCTTATTTTGTGCATTGATGATGTAAATGCTTAGATAATTTGTACACAAATTTTAATATATATGATTCATACCTATCTTTTTTCAGGAGCTGTTTTGTTTGAAAATTTTAAAATATTGGTATTTACTTGAGTAAAATAAATAGAAAAAAATTTGTATTATTTAAAATTCTCTCTAATTTAATTTTGATATATTTTAAAATAAATATTAAATTTTAAATATACTATAAATTCTTTATTATTGTCGACAGCCATCACATAACACCACTCATACACCGCAGCTGTCCATGATGTCCATTGCCAGCTACATCGTCAGCTATCTATAACTCGCTTCCAGAAATCGACACCGCCAATCACCGACCACCACCATCATTGGACGTTACACATATTTTTTCGCATATTCTCTGTCTACAAGCAACCAAACCCTATCTAAAACTCCAATCTAAATTTTTGAATTTTGTGCACAGTGGTTATCTAATTTGATGCGAACAAACAATCACATTCAGTATTCTTCAAGTCCATTTTTACCAACAAAAAGGACCAAAAAGGTATATTAAAAAAATTTCAAGAACAAGAAATATGCAGTGCATCAAAGTATTGTAAATGCAATCACAACAAACCATAATGAATTGCAAAATGTATAATACACATAGCTACAAGGATCAATCATTAATCAAACTCATTGCAAACATTTCCAAATCTAAAAATTTAGCTTCAATCACTGAATCAGAAGGCTATAATCAATCAACAAATGTACAAAACTGATCTCTACCATAGGAATCTGTGTGCAATAATGTACAAAAAGGGCAGGAAGTTCCACAACCTAGCAGCAACAATCATAACCTAAACATTTTAACGTTAGATTTCCTGTATCCAGTGCGTATGTATGTAAGGCTTTGTTTGGGACGGCTTTCCTACTGCTTCTTAAAGCCGTTTTTTAATACAAAAATTAAAATTTTTGCACTAAAAAGCTGCTTTAAGAAGCATTAAGAAAGTCGTCCCAAACAAAGCCTAAATCTCCCCAAAATATAATGGCGACATCCTAACAACTACCTATATCTACACAGCCAAATGTTATGGGGAAATTATTGGGTTCAGACACCGGACACACCGTTCGGTACTTCAAAGTACCGAACAGTAATGAGTTCAGTACTTCACAGTACCGAGCATACTGCTTAGTACCAAGTTTAGTACCGAGAAGAGGGTGATGTGGCATATTTTCATTGGCTCCGGATGGCTTCCAGTGTCCGAACCCAATAATTTCCCAATGTTATGAGCTTGGTGAAGATATCTTCACATAAACCATCTGGGTGTATCCATTGAATACGGAAGCATCCAGACTGGAGAGGCCAAGTCTTTGGAAAAGTGCGTTCTGGCCATCCTCGACAATGGGATTTGATGTGCGAGCTGGGTCATATCTGCTTTGGTGGGTGAGTGAGGGGCCGGCGACAGGAGGGAGCTCCCAGTATACATCCAGTACTGACTCCACAAACCTGCTAATGTGAAAATGGTCCAAATAAGAAATTGCTTTGTTGCTTTGGTTGAAATCATCTCGCATTTCTCCTCTGACACCCCACCATGCCTTCCCATTGCCACATAGTTCTTCAACGTCCACAGCTTTCTCCCACATCTTTCTTCTTTTTCTCCTTATTCTTGCTTCGTCTCCATCTATGAAGCAGCTATGCCCGCCACCTTGAGAAGGAGATAAGAAGAAATGATTGAGATTTCTGATCCAGAAGCAGAATGGAATTCAAAAGCATAAAAAGGAGTACAGATATCTACTAGTTCTTCCAAGGTAAGCACATTGATACAAATAGCTCTTCACTATAACAACTTCCATGGCGCATAACAACCAAGTATGAAGTACATAGGATCGATTAAAGGACCTTTGCAACAACTTCCATGACCCATAACAACCAAGTTAGTTGTGAACCACAGCTTTCATGAGGTGTTGTGCAAGAATAAGTGTGAGAAAAGTTCGAAGGAAAGAAGCATTAACATGATGGAATTACAGTCAAATACTAATAATACAGTTCCCATTATTTAAGCCAATTTATATTGTTTCATTTTTCGAAGGGAATGATTTAGTCAATTGCACAAATAATAAAGATCAAAATTTTAAATAGTTGGGCTATGAAAAGCTCCACTTCATACTTGAGTAGAACAGGCTAGACCCTAACTGATCAACTTTAGAGAGGCCTTGTCCTGTTTCCAAGTTTCACTTGTATTTTGATGCTAAGGGCATGAGATCAAAGCCTTAAGGGGAAACAAAAGATTCGAATTCTTGTTTAATCTATGTGAATGAGGAAGCTGAAATTCCTTTAATTTTCAGGGGACTTTCTAGCGAGACTAGATTCTAGGAGCGCAGCTCTGATGTAGACTCAAAAAACAATAAATAGAGCTGAGCGAGAAGATCTTATAATGGCCTCATTCAATAGCTGGAAATCAAAATAGGTGAGGACACAAAGATAAAAGCGACCACACAACACGCTGACTTCATGAAGGAGAGAAGACAAGGTGGCATAAGAAAGGGGAGTAAGAACAGGTTTTTAGAGGGTGCGGTGCTGGTCGCCTAATGAGGCAGAGTAATCTGCATAAAAGGATTATCTAAATTTAAGCTGTTAGATTCATCTAATGGCCACAGATAGGTAATGATAAAGGGGAAGAGGTTGGCCTGTTGGAGAAATGACTTGGAAAGTTAAAAAGAGTGATGATGTTTCAAATGTTGTCCACCTCATGTGTAGCAACATCCGCCATGAAATGCTACCATAGTTGCAACAAACCAACTATTCATAAAACTTTTTTGATCTGACTCGATCCAATTTAAATTGATAAACAATCATTTCAAGAATAGATTACGAAAAAAAAAAAGAATTAAGGCTTATGGATCAACTTTTCCGGACTAGAGCTTATTTTGACTACAACAACAACAACAATATCAAGCCTTTATCCCACTACGTGGGGTATGCTACATGAATCCTTTTTCTCCATTGTGTTTTATTAAAAGTTAAATTATCGTTTAAATCTAATAAAGAAAAGTCATTCTTAATATTTTCTAACCAAGTCTTTTTAGGTCTACCCCTACCTTTCTTAACACAAGTCAAATCTACTACCTCTACTCTCCTAACCGGGTCATCAAAAGGCCGCCTTTTTATGTGACCAAACCATCTAAGACGACTCTCTCTAATCTTATCTTCTACTGGAGCTACTCCAACCTTTTCACGTATATGCTCATTTCGTATCCTATCTCTAAGGGTAAAGCCACTCATCCACTTGAGCATCCTCATCTCTGCCACGCTAAACTTAGTATTATGCTTCTCTTTTAATGGCCAACATTCGGCACCATAAAGCATTGCAGGCCTCACTACCATCTTATAAAATTTTCCATTAAGTTTGAGGGGTACATTTCTATCACATAACAAGCCCGATGCATTCCTCCACTTCAACCATCCAACTTGAATTCTGCTGATAATATCCCCATCTATTTCACCATCACTCTGAACAATAGATCCAAGATATCTAAAACGTGTACTCTTATTAATGACTTGATCGCCCAAAGTCACAATCCCCTCACTAGGACTATTACTACTAAAATTACACTCCATATATTCCGTTTTAAATCTACTCAAGCGAAAAAACTTTCCTGAATGCACAAAATATTTAACTTCCTATGAATCATAATATCTATTAATTCCATTAATTTTCCTGTAAGAGAACCTATATTCCATGTTCCTATCCTAATTTTAGTTTCATGGACTAGCTTCTTTGCCCACATCCGTCCTTGATGTGGGAACCCTTGCCTATTTAACACTGCACCCGGGCGCCGATGCAATGTCCCTTGCGCACTTGTCACTGTATTCAGGCCATACAGCGCGTCGCTTCCAGGGGACGCCCTAGCATTAACACAATTTCTTAAATGATTCATGTCATTATTGTTCGATAAGTTTTACGCTGGCTGTCGACTACCTAACACAACCCTCCACTTTTCTCATCCAGGACTTGGGACCTGGCAACGGCAGTGTTACTAGAGCTTATTTTGACTCTTGAGTTAAAATTTAAGTCAGCCTTGAGAGATTCAACTCTCAAGTAAAATTCAGTATTTATTATTATTTCCTTAACCATGCCACAAAAATTGACAAATAACTAAGATAATGTACACAGAACTGTCAGTGAGCCACTCCTAGTTGAAAGAACAAATCAGGTAAAAAAAGGTTCATGGCTTAGCATCTTTCGTTTGAGTTTATTTCGAGATGAAATGAAATTAATAAGTTTATTTAAATACTAAATATTATTTCTTTACAAGTGTTTATACTTAAACATATTGGTTATTAATTGTATTTAATTGCTAAATATTTGCAAAATCTGTATTTTATAATTAAATATAATATGTATTCATATTCTAAATTATTAAAAGTACATAGTAGTACATCCTAAATATGTTGGTTAATGATTTTGTGCATAATTCATACTCTTGATGATCATGATCATCAAAAATAAGAAGATTTATTTTTTCTAAGTTAAGAAAAAACAATTGCAATTTTATCAAATTGCCTAAACCATCAAAAATTCATTTTATCCTATGTGAAATGCATCTCTTTATTTAAATCTTTTCAAGCTTAATATGGTTATAAAATTTAGTCATTTGATGAGATTTTCAAAATTTTAAATTTCTTCCTATTTTCATGAAAATTTTACTCATGCTTTTATCTTATATGAGAAATGCATACTCATCCAAATATTTTCAAATTTTATTTCTATTTGTTGGATGTTTCTAATAAAATTCTTTTTTCATGGTTGAAAAACTGTTACGTGAAATTAACAATTAAATTTTCCTTTCTCTTTTGATGAAAATTTTACACATTTATCTTAAATTTAACAAAAACATCATCAAGCCTTTATCCCACTACGTAAATCCTTTTTCTCCATTATATCCCATTAAGAGTCAAATTTTATTTAATTCATCCCAAATTTAAATGAAACAAAAGTTCATCTTTTCTTATATAAATATGATCCATTTCAAGCATTTGACTTCTTTCTCAACTCTTACCTTGCAAATATTCTGTCCAAATATCCTATTGCTAAATTCTCTTAAGTTCTTGTGTTTACTAGTGTGCTCCTAAGTTTTCTAAGATCCCTTGACCCATTGCATTCGAAGATTGTTAAAGGTTCAGCTATGAACAAAAAGTTTTAAGCTTTTATTTTTATGCTTAGTATTTCTTATTACCTATAAACATTGTTTTTGTTTTTCTATAAGTAGTGTTCAATTTTTTTGAAGTCGTGGAAAGACTTGAGGAATTGTTTGTGGACACTCAGGGAGGGACCATTAGGTTGTCATTATTAAAACTACTCCGCCAAGAAAGAGAGGCCATTAGAAGTTATTGAGTGGAATACTCAGTGAAGGGTAGGTTGTGGGCTTCAAAAAATTTGCAAACCAGCTTCTCCGTACCTCTTTTATTGAGGAGAGTTTTAACGGATTTAGGTTCTAGGGTAAAATTTTATAAGGCATATTGGGTTTTAGATAAGACACCAGCCAGAGATTTCGACCTCATTTTGAGAGAACTTTATGATCTGAGTTCTGGTTTCTCATAGGCATAGGCTCTATATGGTTAATTATCCCTCCCAATAACGAGAGAACTTTCAATTAAGGCTACTCATTAAGTAGATCGCAATAATTACCTAGCATATAATGATAACAGTTTTAGAGTTTGAATTTGATTTTAAATTTTGGAGTTTAAAATTTTAAATTTATCAACAAATACTTAGAGCGGGTGATGGGGGAATGATGATGGGCCTGATCAAGATCCAATGGTTATGTCATCTCGGGCTGTCATGATCCCTGATTTGCTTAGTCAAAGGAGATAGTCTACCCAACCTGACATAAGAAATCTTATCGGCAGCCATGGGTTGCTTCGTCCAAGAATACCTTATAGAACTGGGTGGATGTTTGCCTGAGTTGGTGAAGTTAAGTCAACCCTAGCTAACATAATTTTTATGTCTTATAGAGCACACCCTATAATTCATTACTCAAGGGGGCTTTTAAGCATTAGAGAACATACTGGTCATAACTGTGATATAGTGGTGCTATTTTGCAACAAAATCAACCAGTCTGAGGGCATGTGCCACGTCCCTGCTGGATGAATCAATTGAGAATGGATGGTAGTAATGCACTCAGCAAGACATCTGCTCTTTATGAGCTAAAATTATTATTTAATTCATCATTATCGCCAAACCATTGCAGAGTATGGAAGAATTTTGGTTTTAAGTTTTAGTGACATATTTCATTTCAAAGATTTAAATTCTTAACAGGATTTGAGCTTAGGTTTTGATTGAATGACTATTAAGGGGATTTTCAAAATTAAATAGTTCTCTTCGATTTAAATTTCCTATTAACATGACTATTATCAGAGTGTTTGAGCACTTTTAATAAATCTGTGAAGCATTCCAGTATCTCGAAGATCGGAGTACATACGGGATATATCTTAACATATAGATCTATTCTATTATAGGGGTGTTTGAACACTTTTAGTGACTCCGCGAAGCATTCTCAAATCTTGAATTAAGGGGCTTGACATAAAGCCTGAAGCACATGTGGAATCGGAAACCTTCGTTAGAGCTAATCACAGCACTGTCTAAGGGGTTTGCAGGTTTTACATATTGTTAAGGTCTACTTTATTTTTCTCATTCGAAGGGTT